CCCGGCCTTGTGACCAGCCAAATGGCTTTCGACACCAGCTTTGATACCCAGTGGTTCCTCAGTCATGATTTTCTCAAACAACTCGTGCTGCAGGATGGTTTGAATGGCCTTCTCCAAAGCGTTGTAGTGATCCATGTTGACAGTGTCAACTTCACATTGGTCAGGGACCTGGATGTCAGCCTTCTCCTCGACAGGGGCTGCCTTCGATTTCTTCTTGGGCGGCATGGCTTCTCTAAAATTCAGTCTCTAGCTTGACTGGCCTTGTCTGTGGAAAGTATATAACATATCCTGAAATCATGTGACCAGGCCTCATCATGTCATGATGTGCCATGATAATAATGACAATGCGGGTGTCAAAAAGTAGATAGCCAGCAAGCTGGCTGGCAAGCAAGCTTGCCTATTCCCAGCAAGCTGTTTTTTTGATTATGTAGTATCAATCTCACATCTACATGCTGAGATTCAAACATCGAAATGTCTGACAAAGTGGAAATGCTCCGCTTCAACATCATTGCGCCCATTGCGGCTGCTTCGCACAGTCAGTCTAAAATTTCCAAACCAAAACATGGCAGGGGAGCACGCGTCATCTCGAAATCACCACATGACATCAGCGCTTTGGCACTGAGTATGTCTCCGTATGGAAGAACATAATATATTAATAAGAGAATTATTCTTTTTATCCCCCTACTATATCACTATTAAATACCTGCTTAACCATGGGCAACTCACCCGCCACATGCATTTCGAGAACTTCACGAAATGAAAGCTGTGCCAGAGACAATGAGACAATGTTTTTTCAGTTCAACCTCGTTTCGCACCTAAAGCGGTCTGTCACCGGGTCACCGTTTGGCGATCACCAATTCCACGGTGCTTTGATGGCTGAAAATTCAAGCCCTAAAATGGCATGGTAATTCAAACCCTAAAATTTGGCATGGTATTCAAGCCCAAAAATTTGGCATGGTATTCAAGCCTAAAATGGCATGGTAATTCAAGCCCTAAAATGGCATGGTAATTCAAGCCCTAAAATGGCATGGTCATGGTTGCGACTGGTCATCGCGTAGTAGCTGGTCCCATCAACTCGTCCATCTTCAAGTCCAAGCCCAGCATGAATTGGCGTAATTGCATCCTGGTACAATGCACCACATAAAGTGGCAGAAACTGCCGTTGACCACACATCCATACTCCTCCCAAGCACCGTCGCCCGTCCATGATCAGGAAATACTCGAAGGTCAAGTTGTGCCTTCGTGCACACATCGATTGAGTGCACGCCCAATCAAACAGCTCCAAGCGTTGGTTGGAATGACCAATCCAATGACCCTGCCACTCAAACTCCTTGTGATGATTCCTCGGACAACTGCTTTGATGATTTGAATAAAAAACTGATTGTGAATGTGGCTGACCCCCTTTCTACGGCTCCCCCTAAAAAAACAACAACATTAACAAAACAGATGGCTAAGTTAGCTTTAAGCTGCTTGGTGTGTCTGAAGAAAGCAACAGCACCGTCCAGGGCCAGCACCAACCATTCTCGCCACCTTGTAGTACCCCAGTGCTGGTACTTTGCCACCATAAAATATTCCATCCGTTCAAGCGACGAAGCTGCAGCTGCAGCCATTGAGTTGGACAGATTCGGAAGCCGAGGTGCACCAGCTTTAAAAGGGGATTGGGCCAAAACTCGTTGCATCCTTTTGAATAAAAAAAATATCATTTTGAAAGAATAAAAATCAGAAAACATCGAGTTGCATATGCCGTCGTTGTTTTACCAGCCCCTCGCTCAGAACAGAAAAGTTTTGCTCCACACCGGAACTGCCCAGACCGTTCCAAGGGTCCATTGCCACGGTCGCTGGTGAGCAGGTGGGACGAGTCAGTCAAGTCAGTTGGGCTGAAAACGCTACCGGTTTTTTCATATTTAAACTTGCAGCTGACCTAGAAAACCTGCCTGCCAAACCTCTAAAAAAACTGGAAAAGAGAAAAGACCAGCAAGCTGGCCACAAGACTGGCCAGCAAGCTGGCAACAAGACAGACCAGCAAGCTGGCCAACAAACTGGCCAAAAAACCAGCAAGCTGGCCTGGCAAACTGCGAAACTGGAATGACCAGCAAGCTGGCCATGACCGGCCGGATTTTTTTCCAGGCAATGCAACGGCCTGGCTGAATCCTGAGTTCTCAGGAAAAAAATGTCTTACCAGAGTGGCTCCAAATTGGCCAGAGTTGGTCTTCAGCATGTTTTTTTCAGCAGGATAAATCATGTTTTCAGCATAACATCGTGATGTTTCTTCAGCATGATGCTTGTCTTTTTGAGTGTGACGGTTCTTCAGCATGTTTTAAAAATAGTCGATAAAAACATGTTTCTTCAGCATGATGTTTCTTAGCAAGACCAAACAATCTTGAGCGTGACGTTTTTGTCAACCAAATTTTGTTTTAACAATAGTCGGTAAAAACTTGCTTCTTCAGCATGATGCTTCTTCAGCAAGATCAAAAAACAGCAAGATCAAAAACTTGAGCGTGACGCTTCTTCAACAAAATCATTTTTTTAAAAATAGTCAATAAAAACATGCTTCTTCAGCATGCATGATGCTTCTTCAGCATGATGTTTCTTCAGCAAAAAAATGAGTGTGACGCTTCTTCAACAAAATCAGTTTTTTTAATACTCAATAAACACATGCTTCTTCAGCATGATGCTTCTCCAGCAAGGTCAAGCAAGCAACATGGTATTTACAGTTAGTGGTTTATGATAACTACTCCATATTATGATAGTCTTAGTTGATGACACAGTTTACAACAAACTATTATTCACCAACATAAATTATTGTAAATTGACTGTTAGATGGTTTTTGAGTTATCATTAGTAGGTTTCTATTGTCTCACTGATGACATATGTTTACTAGCATGCTCTGCTGATTTTGCTAGAAACATTACCCACTGAATGCCCATCAACTATCTATATATGACAAACAGTGTGTGCACAGGACTAGTGCAGGACTTGAACAACCTTACGGTGAATGACACTTTGTATTCCCAAATTCCCTCTTAAGCACCAGTAAGCAGAGGGTAAATCCCATCAAAATCCCATGAAAAACCACCATTTTCCAATGGTTTTCCTATGGTTTTCCTATGATTTTCCTATGTTTTGAGAGGGAAAATGATGATGAGTCTCGAGGCGGGTAGCTCGCTCTGGTAAGTGTTTGAACTCATCCAGACAAGTAAGATAGGCCATGATCTCAAAGGGTGGTCGCTCAATGGAAAAGCCAAAAAAAAGCCGACAAGCAGACCCCATAGGATCCATGGTGCTGGGATGAATTTACCGAATCATTCACTTAAATAATCAATTTTAATATATGACCTCAATGGCTTGGCATATATTCCAGCACCATGGATCCTATGGGGACAGGCAGACGTTCATTTCCCCAGACTTCCAAACAGCTCCCGGGTTCCGGTGATTCTGAAGGTTGGAGGTTAAGAGACTGAACTCTCGAAACAGCCTGGGGAGTGGAACAGATCATCATTTTTGCTTGAGACTTAGGAGCACAGTTATGGCCCGAAATACCAGTTATAAATATTTATAACCCTATTTATAGACTGTATAATCCCATTTATAACCAGTTATAACTGATAAATGGCCATAACTGCAGTGGTTTTGGTACGTTTTGTTTCCTTGAAGTATTTGGTAACTTCGTATAGTTTCAGAAGGGCTCAAGGTCTGGTGTTGGGCAGATGGGTTGTTTGTTGATGATTTTTATGTTACCCTCTGGTACTGACTAAGAGTTTTCTATTGAAAATGGCCGAGTCGAAATAATGAGTTTTCCCATTAAAAGAATTGTGATTTTCCATGTAGTTTTTTTGTATGTTTACCAGAGGGTACCATCAAATGTGGGAGCCAGCGCCATTTTTTTTGCTGGTCAAAAATGTTGACCCATCCCTCGCAGTAGTCCATCTAGCAGAATTCTTTGTGAAAACTCCTGCATGAAACCTATGGTTTATGTATATACTACATCGCGTCTACTTGTAGCATTTGGTTCAAAAAGAGCTAGCGCTTAGCGGATCTTGTTTCCTGGTTTCCCCCATTGTGTTTTATCCCCATTGGTGGGTAACCTGTGAAACTACAGGTTATCAGCCGTAGCCCCACTAGCTATGGAGCACCAACAAGACCTCCCGCTCGTCGCCTCAGGGACAGGTCCGATTGCACCGTCAACTGGTAGTGCCGGTGGTGACACCGAGCCCATGGAGGACGAAAGCATCCGCCAGCCAGTTGTAGCCTACTTCACATTCGTTCAGAATAACCTACATCAACTAGCCAGTGGTAATGCCACTCAGGTGATCCGTGAAGCCGAGCAGAGGCACATGCAGGTCATGAATGAGGTTCTTCAGAACATGAGAAATGAAATGGCTTTAAGGTTGACCCAAAAGGATCAAGAGTGCATGCAGCGTGTCCAAGACGCCGAGTCAAGTGCTATTGGTGCACACCTTGCAGCGACGCATGAAGCAAGGAAACATGTAGAAGAGCTAGAGGCGAGGTTGAAAAAGGCTGAGGCACTTCACCTTTCCACTGTAGAGGAAATCATGAAGGATGCTAATGCTAGACATGATCGAAAGATCGAAGAACAGAGGGTGAAAATTTCTAAGGAATTTGAAGAAGCCCAGAAACAAACCGTAGAACATGCTCACACCCTGATCTTCCAAAACCCTTTAAATAAGGAAAGGCACCTTAAATAAGAAAAAAGACCTTAAAAAAAGCCTTTAAATAAAGGGTTTTTCCTTATTTAAAGGGTTTTTTTGAAAAAAGTCTTTATTTAAAGTGTTTTTCTTTAAATTTTAAGGTATGTTTCCTTATTTAAAGGGTTTTTCCTTATTTAAGGGGTTTTACTTTAACTTTGATGTTTCTTGTTTTTTGATGAAACATATCTATGAGCCTCCCATGAAGGAGGCATATGAGGAGCATGTTCCTTTCTAGGAGCATGCTCCTAGATCCCTTTGCCCATCCCATCCCAGCAGCAGCACTCTTTTTTTCTCAGCACAGGCGAGGCAAAGCATTGTTTGCACAGAACTTGGAGATGACATTGTTGGAAGTGCTAGCAGCTGATGCAGGGCCTGCCCTTCGTCTAGCCCACCTTGCAGCTGCCCCACCCCAATCTTCATCTCTAAAAGTGGAATGGTCCAGGGGATTATCTGTTTGCTTCTCACAGAGTTCCTCCATGAGATGCAGCTTTGGCTTCATCCTCCATTTGTTGGAAGAACTGGAATGAAATTCGTCCAAAGCCTTGAGCAAATTTCTCAGCCTGAAAGACTCATGGTGCATGGCCTCAGGATTGAAATTGTGCCTGGACCATACAATGTCATACAAATTCTTCAAGTGGCTGGCTGCAATCTTGACCGTGTGTTCCACTGGATGGTTGTCTTGGCAATGCACATCAGCCATCAGCTTGCCAAAAAGCACAAGCCCTTTGACTTCAGAAGCCCTGCCTCTCAGTTTGGGGGGCTGGCCACTCTTCTTCTGGAGCATCTTGATTGTCAAGTTGCTGTACCTCTGCTGAATTGCATGATCCGTGTAATACTTTTGTACCAAAAGGAAAAGCTGTCTGATTCTTTCGTCTTTGCTGGCGCCAGGCAATTTGGGGAGGACCACCCACAAAAACAAATTGCCCAAGAAATCTGCTGCGCAGCCTTGGTCCATGGTGTGCAGCCAGTCTGGTCCGAATTGATGAATCCGCAAGGTAGGAGCAGCCAGCAATGTGCTCACTGGCTTGCCATAGACATGAACCTGTCTGTGCAAGAAGCCCCAGTGGTCCAAAGCCATCCCCTTGGTGGATGTTTTGGTGCGCATATCCAGCAGAGTGGCTTTGCAAAGCCAACAAATGCCTTCATGACCTTGCCAGCCAGGGAAAGAGAAAATTTCCTTGAAGGCTTTCCAATCAGCTTTGACCCAAAGCAAGACAGCTCTAAGGCCCAAATGCTGTCCAGCCAGTTTCCTCCTGGAGGCATCACTTGGCCTCCACAGCTGTTCATCATGTCTGTGCAAAGGATGGAAGCCAGCTGCTAAGCTTTGCAAGCTCCAAACCAAGACACCAAAAATCTGGTCAAAGGTGTTAGGTGCAAGCCTGCTGTGGTCAAAGCAAGTGAAAGGAATGCGCAGGTTTGCCCATTCAGGCACACCAGGGAGTGCCAAGTTCATGACTTCAAGGCTTTGTGATCTGTCCCAATTGTATGGAACACCATCAGCCCACAGAGCTAGTGGGATGAGGGAAGCAGTGCCTAGCTCACTGCAGGCTCTGAGGCAATCCCTTTGGCCCTGTGGTCCCAAGCCCTCCCAAGAAGCAAGCTTTTCAAAAGAACCAGCTTGTTTGAGAAATTTGCAAAGCCATTCGTGTGGGAGCAGGAAGGCAAGCCATTCTTTCTGCACCACTTGCTTCTTTGGATGCCAGAAATCTATCAGAGCCCAATAGGCCTTGGGCCAGTGCTTTCCCTTTTTCACAAATTTGCGCAACAGATCTCTATGAACATTCCTGCTTCCCTTTTGGTGCAGGTGGGCTACATCATCCATGGCTTCCACTCCAGCACCATGGGCATCAGTCAGCAAAGAGGATGCCCTTTCTGCACTGACTTGATTTGTCAAAAACAAATCCCTCAGATTGGCCCTGAGCCTTCTGTGGGGATCAGGGGCATCATCAAGCTGAGGCAAAGCATTCTTGTGAAACATGTGTGGCCTAACCTGGGAAAACTATTTGAGCCAGCTGAGAAACCCAAAGCAAATGCTGAGGAAACTGGAAACTGAAGACATATTTGTTTTAACCCTCCTATATAAAGGAGAAGTCCTCCTATACAGGAGGCTTACATTGACTAGATGCACCAGGGGCAGCAGCAGCAAGCTCTTTTTTCCTCACAGCCAAGGAAAGTCACAACTTCAAAAACCGTGCTGGAAGCTTCCAGGGATTTCACTGGCTCAGCAGCTGGTTGGCTTTGCGCACTTGGCTCCTAGCCACATCCAACAAAGTGGACCAATTTTCCAAATTGGTGCAGAAATCATCCAAGTCAGTCTGAGTGACTTTGTCAGCTGGAATCTGCTTGGTTTTGAAAATTGCCTCCCTCACTTTCTGGACTGATGTGCCCAAGTTGGAGCACAAGGTGGTGAGCTCTGTGTACTTGGCCTTGAAAGCGGGGTCTGTGGTAGATTTCTGGTTCAGCATCAACACCACATCCTGGCTTTGGCTGTGCACCTTTTCTAGGGCGAGCTTCCCGGATTCTGCCACTTGCATCTTAGCAGCCAGCTGTTCACGCAAGGGGTTCTCCTTCTTGACATTCTCCAGCTCCAGTGTCTTACCAGCAGCCTTCTGGACACTGCCAGCTTTGGAGTGGGAGACCTCCTCAGTGTAACTGTCCTCAGCCTTGGTAGAAATCAAGGCCTTGACTCCTTCCAAATGATACCGCACAAGGCCAGCCTTGGAGTAGCCCCTTTCCACTGGCACATTGATGTCCCACTTGTCATCCTGGGGAAGCTCCTTCAGGATGACCTTCAACTCACCAGAGTCCACTGGCAGCTTGAGAAGCTCAGCCACTCCATACCTCAGGATTTGAATAATCCTATCAACAAAAAACAAAAATGGAAATATGTAAAATAATGCAGCCAAGGTACTTGGTAGCAAAACCGGACAGCTCCTCATTGGTGGTGGATGCTTTCTGGGTCCTAGATTCCTTATATTCACCTAGCCACTTGCAACTTTTGTCAGCCTTCCACTTCTTGAGAAGCTCTGCCTTCTGGGAATCAAACCGGCTCAGTCCCTTGTAGTAAGCCAGAAGCTCCTGCTTGGCAGGATCCTTGGAACATTTCAGAGAGCCAAGCATGTTGGAAACTTCTCCCTTCTCCATGGCCACACTGGAGGTGTCAGCCTTGGCCTTAGCTTTGGCTTTGGCCTTGTCTGCATCCTTGACCACCTTGGCTGGAGCCTGTTTCTCATTCTTGGCTCTCCCCATGGCTGTGATGAGATTGGATCGCACAAAATGTTTTTTTGCCAAGTTCTGAAAAATGGTTGCAGATCCAAAAATGAATTTCAACCATGGATTACTTTAACTTTACTTTAACTTTACTTTAACTTCTTTAACTTGGTTTAGTATTGATTTTAAATTAAAAAACCTAAAGTTAAAGTAAACCATGGTTAAGTTAAAGTAAAGTTAAAGTAATCCATGGTGGTGCCCAGAACCCAAAAACAGATAACAGCTTTGCAAAGAGAAATCTAGACCCAACAATTTCTGAGATTAATGGCACATAAATGATCATTATGTTCATCTGGATGATTTGGAATATATTACATATCTTTACATATACCTCCTGCGTAGGAGGTTTCCTGATAATTATTATCCTTCCTGAACAGGAGGATCTTTGATTTACAACCTATATGGGGTTCCCTCCCAAATGGGAGAGATCTTTTTTCCTTGACCCAGTCCCACCCAAGCAGCAAACAGCAACACACCTTTTTTTCAGCAGTGAAGATCCAAGCTGAGCCATTCCTCATGCAGCTGGCTTTGTGCACTACTGCAGAGCTGGCAGGAACCGCTTAAACCAATATACTGATGCTTCCTTTCAAGCATCTCAAGGGCCAAACACGGTTGGAGCTTTGAACAGGGAAGCAGCCCCATAAGTACCATCCTTGTCATCCTTGTCATCCTTGTCATCCTTGTCATCCCTTGACTTTTTAGCCAAAGGAGTCAGCACCTCAATGCCATCGTCCTCTTCATCCTCTTCCTCCTCACCAGCAGGTTTTCCCTCAGTCTTGTTCCATGGGGCATCACCAAATTTGCTCTCAGCAGGGGTGCCACCAATAGGAACACCTGGGGCATCACCACCACGGCCAGGAGGAGGGATACCAGCCATTCTGTCAGCCATCCACTGCCTCCTTTTAGTCCCCTTGTTCTTCTTGGACTTGCTCTGCCAGACATTCTGGGAAGTCACATAGCCACCCCATCCACCTTGCCATCACAGAAGCCTCTGACCGAGCTGTTCAGGACTCAATCGAGTGAAGGCCAGAGCCTGGCAGCAGATTGCATGACAATGATTTATATCATCTTCTTTGTGAATAAACCATGTATGAACCATGAATCATTACATACACATGATTAAATAGCACACCTCCTACATAGGAGGCTTCTTCATTTCAAGATACATTCATACAGCCTCCTCAAAAGGAGGCAAAAATCATAATGCAGCCAAGAGACACAGTCCAAGTTGAAGCAAACACCTTCTCGCAGGTATGCCACTTTGCAGCATCTTGAACACATTCTGACCCCTTGCTCACTGCCATGGTATGCCTCAGCACCTCCTCCACTAGGAGGTGCTTCCTCTGGTGGGGAAGGTGGTGGTGTGGCAGGAGGTCCAGGAGGAGGAGCAGCATGTCCTGTCTGAACCTGCTGGACCAGGTTCATCATCATGTTCATTTGCATATTCTGCTGCTGCTGCATCTGCTGAACCACTTGGAGGGCCACCCTGTCAGGGAGGCCGGTGAACATGGACAAAAAAAACAAAAATTCTTCAACCTTGCCTGACTCCTTCATCCACAGGAGTGCTGGTAGAACTTGAAGACTGCCCTGCACCCATGAGAGCCACAAACCGAAAAAGGGACGAGTCCAGCAAACCTTGAGAAAGCTGGAAAATGGCTGCAGACACATAAAAGAGATTTCACTTGTGAAAGCAACTGCAATGACCACATGCTGTTCAAATGGCTGGAGCTTAGTGTCTTATGATTGATTTCTTGACTTATCTTTCCATGATTAGATTACATCATTAATGCCCAACCATAGATTCTTTACAAAGGAGGTGCCCTCCTACATAGGAGAGCAACCACTCCTGAATTATATATATATATATATATTATGCCTTTTCAATCTTACCCATCCCAAACCACCCAAACCACAGCTACAGGTCTTTGAGCCAGGAATGCACGTGATCCTATCAACAAAAAAAGATCAGCTTCTAGCTTCCTTCTGGGCCCACTCCTTCACTTCCTGAAGAGCATGGCCATCAAGCAGTTTCTGCTTTGCAGATTCCAAAATGGATTTCAACTGCTCTGCTGTCTTCTGTCGGTTAATGATTTGAAACAATTGCCTCTTGCCTAGCTTTGCTTCCCTGATTGCCCAAGCACCAGTCTTGTAAGGGAAGATGTTGTAGGTCATGGTCACAGCTGGAGCAGGAGGGGCCATGTTCTCACCACACCCACTGCCCTCAGAGGACCCAGGCACCTCTGGTGCTTCTGCAATGGCAGAGGCTGGCCTCTTCTTTCCCCCTGACTTGCAAGCAGCAGGTTTCTTTAGAACAGTTGCAGCAGGAGATGCAGGCTTCACCAAATTCAAATTGGGGATGTCTGTCTCCTTGGTTTCATCCGGGTTTTTGAATATTGCTATGGCAAAGCCATTGGGACCTGCTTGCATGGCACCTTCCTCCAAGTTGCCGTTTATGGATCTCACCAGGCATGGCACAGCTGAATTTGTCCAAAAAGATTTTGCCCCTGCAGGAGGCTCAGCCTTCTTGCCCTTGGATGGTGCTCTCACAGGACTGGATGGCTGGCTTTCTGAAGAGCTGAGAACAACCGGTGAGTGCGCAGCTGCAACTGCACTGGAAGCACTGGAAGTTGCTAGGCCCAATTGAGCCATGATCTCATTCCTGCTAAGCTTCCTGACAGGAGGTGAATCTGACACCTCATGAAACAGTCGCTTGCATTGCACAGGGGATGTCTTGGTATGCAACCGCTTCTTTGGCACAGCTGAAGAATTGGACACTGGAGTGCTGGGAGCTTCATCTCTGGGAGATCTGCTTGGTGTCCTGTGTGCAGGAGATCTGCTCCACTGCAGCAAAGCCTTCACCACTGCAGCCATTGCTGGTGAAGTTTTTTTGCCAGAGGCAAAGGATTTGCCAATGGCCCTGGCTGCTGAGACGATGTCCACCACCTTGCCAGCAAAGCTCAAGGCATCACTAGAGTTTTGCCTTTCCAAAAGGAGAAGAGCCTGGTGCAGCCTGGTCTTGCTAATGCGGGGAGTTTTGTCCAAAAGATCCACAACCAGCTGCTTGTGAATTTCACAAAACTCATCCAAAGGTTTGGACAAGTCAGACCTCAGTACAGAGGTTTTGTTTCCCCTCACAACCTTTTCATAGTCAGCCAAAGCCAAAGTGTTGGAAGCTCTCGACATGGCTGCCCACAGATGAGCAAACAAGCTTGAGCCTGGATGGCCACCATGCATGCATCAGTGACCCATGAATATCCCAAAAAAACCTCCTATTGGGGATCAGGAGGTGTGAATCTTGCTGCATTT